AACGGACGGATAGGATTAAGATTATGGAAACAAATCTTTGTTCAAAAAATCATGTATGTAATAAATTCTTAAAATATGCAGTTATTTATCTTCATATATATATCCTCTATGGATCAGATTTCTAAAATATATAATTAATAAAAGGAAGATATATAGAGTACAATTATGTGATATATGCAGAATCTACAACATTTAATAAATTTGATCTTTAATTTGCGTTTTAATATGGATTTTATTTTATTTTAAAATCTGGATAAGCAAAAATGAAATTAAAAAGGAAAATTGGGAGTAAGTATGAAATATTTTATAAATTGGAAAGAGTATACAAGATTAAATATTAAGTCGATTTTTTTTTATTATTTTTAAATGTATTGATAATATTGAGGAGAAAAAAAAATGATAAGATGAATAACATATTTTCTAAAAATATTTGAATCAAGTTATAAATTCAATCAAAAAAATTTATAAAACTCTTCTCATATAATATCGGCCCCTTAAATTAAATCCCTATAAATAAATGTTTTTGACGTGACAGGATAATTTTTTCAAACCTTTTGTTTCAGAATTCAACTTAATTTTAATTCAATTTAACTTTCGTCTTTTTTTTATTAATATAATTAAGTAATATCAATCAATGATTTTCATATATCACTTCAATTTCAATCCACTATTAATCACGCACATATTTAAACTACCTATCATTTTTAGTAACATCTTCTATATTTTTATATCATGTCAACTTTAATAATAATATTAAATATAGTTTAAATATGAACTCAAAATCTCATTGAATCAACATTATTTATAATTCACTCACTTTAACTCAAAACTAGTGTGGTACCCGTGCGATGCACGGGCTAGTTTTATTATGGTAAACATTTAGATTGGATAAATGAAAAAAGGTAAAACGCATATATTAGAATAAACAAAATGTAACTTATATATTAAGAAACACATTCTTGTATACAACATTATTTGTTTGACCTTTTGTTAAATCGTCTACCGCCACAAATTAAAATTTTCAAACACTTAAGATTCGTAGCGCGTGAAACATGCATAAAGCTGGCCGTGAAGGTTACATATATTAGGATTCTAGACAGGTTTAAATAAATCAATTAAATTATTTAGCAGGATATATCTTATATGTTTTATACTTGTTTTATGCAGATTGCATAGCAAAATATAACGGATATCGTAAAACGTCTTTCGTGATAATCTATAGTTAATTCGAATTTTATATTGCCAAAAAAATATATATATAAATAATAGTAGTTTAATAGGAAGTTCATTTATATGAGAATATGTGATTGTATTTTTTCTAATTGAAAATTTTCATTCAGCCAATTTTTAGTTCAGCCAGATTTTTCGAATAAAAAATGAGAAAGGATTTTGATTTTTAGAAAACCGTAAACACTACCGAAATCTAACAAAATTAGATCTATAATACCCATCATTTTAGGGTGCATTTAAGAGGTTAATAAATTAAAAAAATTAAAAAAACTACCGGCATGCAATAAATGTGGGCCGATTTTATGGCAACTCAATGATAAGGGATTTAAAAATTAAAATTTTATATTCAAAATGAGACCTAATTATTTTCAATTAGATTTTTTGAATAAAAAGTGAGAACGGATTTTGATTTCTATTTAATTGAGAATGGATTTTGATATCTGAAATTTGCAAAAAATACATCAACAAAACCCATCAATTTAGGGTGCATTTATGGATGCCCAATTTCTTGGGTTAAGATTAAAAAAATATTAAAAATTTGCTGAAATTGGAATGCGTTAAATGTTGGTTGATTTTTATGTTAATATTTTTTTGTAAATAGGTTGTCTTTTTATATATTTATAGATTTGAAGACACTTACAATTTTCCTAAACTATTTTGAAAAAAAAAATGTCTAAAAATATTTAAACTTAATATATATATATATATATATGTTTGTGTGTTTGTGTGTGCGTATATGTATATATAGTTATAATATGACATGATAAAATATTATATAAAAGTATCTATCATTTTATAAGCCTAAATAAAGACATTATAAATTTTCTGAGAGAAAATTTACCTAGTCTATATAAAATAAATATTGACATGATCCCAAATTATGATAGTACTTCTCAAAATTTGTATATAATATTTCAAAATTATTATTTTTTTTATAAGTTTGTTACAGTTAAAAAGAAATTTAGTACATATAATAATTTCACACTTTATGCAGATTTATTAAGTTTACAAATACAGCTCAAAGATTAATGTAAACTGTAACAAATATATATAACTAATAATCAAATAAAAATTGAAGACAATATTTGATTCTACATTTCTTCTTATAACTTTTTATTGTATGTAGTTTGAGAGAGAAATATGTGATAAATATACTAAATACCTCTAAAATATTATATCACATATATAAAAAGTATATACAATATTTTATATTATTCTTGAAAAATGTTTGGAGCCACTTTTTTAAACTACGAAAAATATGTCAAAAAATACTTAAGTTTAACCTCATACATGTGTGTATATATATAGAGCTTCTTAGTCTTTGTCTAATGTTTAAAATATCTAAAATATTATAAGGGTTAATAATTGTTAAAAAATATTAGTATTTAGATGAGTGAAAATTATTTTTTTAAAAAAAAATTTAACGAATGATTTATATTGCGATTAGACAATTAACTTGTTTTAAGAAAAAGAATGATTTATATTTGCGATTACACAATTAAGTTGTTTTAAGAAAAAGAAATTCTGTTACAACAGTTTTCTAGAAAAAATATGTTAGAATAAATAGATA